AAAACTTCCATATTTCAGCAAATAACCTCTTATAAATAGGGAAAAAGAATACAAACAGCCCCTCAAAAGGTGTCGCCCCAAGCCTCTAATGGGAGCAACCAAAACACGGCTAGCCCAAGAACCAAACAGCTAGAAAACCAACAACCAGCTCAGGATCCGAACAGCCAGAAAACATGGGAAATTCCCAAGAGAGATGCATGGCCAACCCAGGAACCAAACAGCCAGCCCAAGATCCGAACAACCAAAAACCCTTCAGCCGAAATAATAAAACACCGAGCAGCCAAGGGAAAATGGGTCAAGCCCAATAGGAGAAATTCAGCCCAACAACAAATGCCCAAAAATCAAAGAAAGCTAGCAAACCAAAGGAGTGAAATATCCTAAGAGCACCAATCCTAAACATGTTCATAGGTTGCCTTCCATCATAGGGTAAACAAGATAAAACATAAAATTCCAAATTACATAAGACCAAAATAAAAATTTAAAAGCATTTGAATCATAAAACATATGCTGAAAGATATTGAATGCATCAACTACCCATGGCTCATGCTTTCTCTTATTTACCCATTTTCCATTAGTTCACTAATCTGCCTTTTAAGTTTATTAGTCTCCTCTAGACTGCTTCTATAGGCGGGTTGGTTTGGAATGGTGCCACCTATTGCAAAATCTATTTTATGCTCTATACCACGGATTGGAGGTAATCTTTATGAAATTTCCTCATGAAAGACATCGTCATTTTTTTTGAAAAAAGAAAAACATCATAATTGGGCAAATAAATATTAGTTTTGTTAGTGTTTAAAAATACCTCTTCATGTAAAAGTATGATCATATGCTGATTTGAAAACAATGCTTGTTTTATGTCATTAGTGTTTGCATAAAAATTACTTTATTTCCTTTCAATGATTGATTGACCCCTTCCCTTCTTGAGTTTCAATCCCCTTTTATTTTTATTTTTTTTTCTTTTCTTTGCTTTCTTTTTACTACTCTGATCTTTATATACCTATTTTGGTGTCATTCGGAAGATAGAATGATTGGCTTTTGATTGTGTACAAATGATTATGTATTAGTAAATCCATCATGCTCAACTTGTCGATTAAATTGCCATGGTTGACGAAGCAAAAGAGTCTAGGTTGCATTGGAACCACATTAGACAAAACTTTATCTTCATATTCTCCTAAGTGAAAGGAAACTTTCACTTACTTAGCCACCTTTGAAAGGAAACTATCACTTGCTTAGCCACCTTTAACTCTCCACTATCATTTAGCCATCCTATTTTATAGGATTGTGGGTGTTTAAGTGTCGAAAAATTCAATTTTTCGACCATTGTAGTACTAGCAATAGTTGCACAACGGCCTCCATTAAATAATATTTTGGTATTACCCAAATTATTGTCCTCCTGATTTCTAGCTCTTCTAATTATTTCGTTATCTCCTGGAACTACTTAAAGAATTATGTTCTTCCTCTTTCACGCCCATTCTGAAGTACCTCCTCATCTTCTACCTTTCATTGCCTTAGCTGAAGCCTCTCCCTCCTTCACACATTAGTATCAATTTGTGGTTGTTCTCATTGTATCCCTCTTCCACTCAATCTAAGCTTTCATGAAGGTGCTCCAATTCAATCATCATCATTATTTTCATCAACCCCATTAAAAGGGTTGAATTTGTATTCTAGGAATAACCGTTGTGGAACCTCTTCTTCGCTATAGTTCATGTTGTCTTGGTAAAACCGTTAAACCAAGGAAGAATAACCTCAAAGTAATGAGAATTCAAAAGCTGTAAGCATTCAAGATATTAGAAATGTATTAGGAGGGAAATGAAAAAGGGGAGGGCTGTTTTGGCCTTGTTTACATTTTGTATGCTTTAAATAGATTGTTTACCTTAGGGTGAGGTTTTTTTATGTATATTTTGCGGAAATTAAATTGCTCTTATGGTATTTGGGCTCTAGCCTGCAATTAGGTATTTGGGAGAGCCGGCTCTTCCTCTCCAATAAAAGATCTATTGTTTCTTGTTTATTTTCTTCCTTATTTCATCAATTAAAAAGGTTTTTCTCTAGTTATTTCTTTTAATTCTTCTTGTGGATTGTGTTTGGGCTGCTAAAATTTAATTTCTACGAGCACTTTCTTAAAATTGGCATCAGAGCAATTTCCTAAGTTGAAATAGAAGTCTTCCTCACTGATTTCTACTGTGTTTCCTCTCTGATCTTGCTTTTTTTTACTAGTTGGAGGCCAAATTCGTATCAAAGTTGCTGTTTTTTTGTTATTGGAGCCTAAATCTGAGTACATATGACAAGAAGAAAGGTAGAAGGGTTGGAAGGGAAGATTGGACAATTGAAAATTGAAATTTCCTATCTCCAAACTCAATTTTCAGATTTCAAAAGTCAAATTTCAGCTGTCCATGGGAAGATTATTGGGAAAATTTTCATCCTAGAGATGTTAAAGAAGTTGCTTGAGGGAAAACCTAAAATGGCATCGTCGGAGGCGAAGGGAGCTGCTGACAACCAAAGAAGTGGGGAAAACTCTAATCTGATAAAGGCGAAGGGAAGTTCAGGAGGTGGAGATTCTGGAGGGAGAAGAGAGAATGCCTCCACTAGAGTCTATTCCTAGGGAAGAGCTGGATAGAGGGTATGGGGAGATGCATGAGGTTGGACATGAATGAAGGGGGGCTGAATTTGAAAGGAGTGGGGTGAAATTTGAAATGGGAGGGGCTAATTATGATCGAAATGGGCAAGGAGGGGCTAATTTTCGCCCTGGGATGTGCTTGGAGGAGAAAGTGATGTGAAACAAACTCGGAGTTACTTAGGAAATTAAAGATAGCGAATTAACAAAGTGTTTCCATAATAAATTTATTACTTATAGCAATGATTGATCCTTAGAATTCTTGGTTTTTAACTTGCTTAGGCAAAGAAGAGCAAAGCCGATTCCCAAACAATTCAAGAAAACACAAAGAGCAATTGTAAAACTACGACGATACACAAGAATCCATGATTTAATAATGAGAACTTTCACCTTTGGAGCCCATACGCTCAACTAGTCTAGGATTTAGTGGAAGAAGAGTCTCCACATTAGAACCGAGGTCACTCCGAGGAAGAAGGAGCCTAAGATCGTCGTTCTTGGATAGGTGGCCGGAGTGGTGGAGGATGACGGTCGTCCAATGATGATCCAACGTCCCTTTGATCTTTGCTCGTCGATCACATCAACTAATGTGTACTGGATACGGTCGATGTAATCTTTAATCGTGTCGTCAAAATCAAAGCCCATATCAAATAACGGTGATTGGAGGATGTCAACTTGATCTCGCTCGTCATGTACGAATCCAAAGTTCCATTCAAATTCGGGGTCCGCCATGCATGGTGGGATCTAGTGGGGAAGACAAAAGAGGGTGGGAGAGGGGGCCGTGAGCTAGGGAGAGAGTGGTCACGGGTTTGAGCTAGGGGAATTCGGTTGTCAAATGGTAGAGTATAGAAATTCTGAATTAATTTCAGAATTTTGGAGGTTTAATGGCGGGATTTAATTTGAAATTCAAATTAAATCAAGGAAGGAGGGGGCGGTAAAGAGAGGGGAATTTGGGGCTGAATTTGTGGAGCTATTAAGGTGATTAGGAGAGAGAGAGGAGGCCATTAAGAGGGCCGGCCACATGAGGAGGAGAGGGGATGAGTTTTGAATAAGTGGGGACCACCAATTTAATTTCAGATTTTACAAAAATCTTAAATTAAATTTTAGTTTTCTTAAGGAGAGAAAACTTCCATTTAGGCGGGCAATCAATTTAAACAATTTGAATTTCAAATTCAAAATTGACAATCAATTAAATTGATGGCGTAAATTAAGGAGCTAAATTAGGAAACAATTAATGGCTCATGACAATTTGAAATTTCAAAATTTGAAACTCCATGGAAGGGGTGGCCGGCGGCTAGAGGAAGGGCAAGGGGTGGGTCACGGCATGGGGTGGCCGGCCAGCGGGATGTGGCAGCCAATTGGCCTACGGCTTGGGCAGCTCAGGGCTAGGCGGCGGCAATTGCAAGGGGAGGAAGAGAGGGAAAATTCAAGGGATTCGAGCGACTACAAATTTACTAACCTCTATTATCTTCCACCCGGGTTTTCATACAAATAACTTGGACGAAATCTAGAACTCACAAAGAGATCTAGTTTCTCCGTAGAACTCACTAAGAGATCTAGGAGAAGTGCACTCACAAAGAGAACAAATAGTAATATTTTTTATTCATCAAAACTTCTATTACATGAGAAAAGAGCCATATATATAGGCCACCAAATGTTAAAGAAAATAAAAGACTAAAATGCCCCTTGGGCTACAATAGCGACTAAATACCCACAAGGGCAAAAGCGGAAAAAAATAAAATAAAATAAACTACTACATAAAATGACAAAAATACAACTCATGATCGTGGCCGTCGATCGCCGGCATCTCCTAATGGTACATGTGTCGAATAGCAGAGGAGGGGACTTTTATGAGGAGTTTTTCGCCCTGACGCAAGAACGAACAGTAGTGGAATATGGTGAGCTGTTTGAGCACTTAGCCAATCGAGTGGACTGGCTTCCGGAGATTGTACTGAAGGGGAACTTTATGAAAGGGCTCAAACCAGAGATTCTGGCGACAGTTAGAGTGATGAGACCTCGTGATTTGGGAGAGGCTATGGAGCTAACCCAGTTAGTTGAGGATTAGAGGCACTTGAAGAGAGTGACTAAAGGCAACAGCTCAGGAGGCTCGTATTAGATAACCACCACCCTTTGGCACCAGATGATTCGACATCGGGCATTCTTAAGGAGACCTCGATGTACAAGACTATAGGAGGGAGACCATTTTTTATAGCCATCACATTATTTAAGTAAATTTAGTTATGAAAAATATTTTTTTATCATAGAGATTTTTAAGAACAGAAAGGAAGCTATAGGCAAATAAAATTGATTGTTATCTTAAAAACAAAGCAATGAAACTTCTGCTCAATGAGCTCCAATTTTATGCGCTTACTAACACTTGATGTTGCTACAGTTGATGCAGGCTGATTCTCAAAATGAAATAAGCGGACCATCTGATGCTGATTTCATGATGGAGCTTGAAGGATTAATAGGCGATTACGACATTATGCCGAATCAATCGTAACCGTTTGATAAAGCCGTCGATCATAACAGTTTGACATAGTTTGTTGATGTGCTGTAAAGCTTGCTTTCTGTTTGTCCTTGAGCTGCTATTGTAGATGATATATATGTATCCTTTGATATCATCATACCTGCTGCGTATATTCTATGCAATTTTCATGCTTCTTGGAGTAATACTGTTAGATATATAGGAACTGGACTGGTTTTTGTATATAGGAGGTTTAATACTGGTTGGTTATCAAAGACTAGATTCAATCCGTGTTCCCCCTTTTTTACTTTTGTGAGGTATAAATATTTGCTTGTGAGGCTTAGGCATTCGTTTGGGACAACTTTCTTATTGCTAAAAAGCTGCTTTAAGAAATAGCAAGAAAGCTGTCCCAAACGAAGCTTTAGTTGATAAAGATCTTTAAAAAAAAATAGCAAAATGGGTTATGATTAATTTTTTGTAGTATGGATTTGAAAGCTATTGAATTTATTGTAATATGATTGTAATATAGATTTTGATTGATTCTTAATGTATTATGTTTATTTTAATTTTTTTTTGTTTTGAAGTTGAAAAAAAATTCAGGGCAGATTATATTGATTAAAATTAGTTATGATAAGCTTTAAATTTATTGAATTTGTTTTGAAATGAATTTAATATATGAGTAATTAATTAAAATTAATTATATGCTTGTTTTAAAGTAAATAAAAGCATATTAAATAAATAGTTTTAAAAATAAAAGTAAAAAAGCAATTTTTTTGGGAGCTTATTTATTAACTATGAAAAGAAATTATAATGCACAACAGTAACAAAAAACAAGACTCAATTACAAGAATGTAGACTCAGGAGTAAGCAAGCTGTGGTAATAAATTGCAATGCTAAAAAGTAAACTATAATAAAAAGTGAAAAAAAAAGTACTAAAAGCTGGACTCAGAATGTGCCAAAAAGGCTGCAAATGAATAGGGCGTTGGACGAGTTGCTCGTGATTTGACTTGTTAAGAATTTGTTCATGTTCATTTGATAAGATAAACAAATGAGGTTGAATATTTTTGAAAAATATTCGATAGATAAATAAACAAGTTTGTATAGTTTGACATTTGATTTGTTTATGTTCACTAACAATATTGTTTAAAGCTTAAGAATAAACTCAATTAGAGCTTGTCTAAGAAGCGTGATTAGAGTTTTGAAAATAAATATTATTTAATTAATTTTACTAATTTAAATATTTAATAATTTATTTTTAAATTCTCTCTCCATTTCCTCTCCCACTGTTCCATCCTACCTCAGCTCCTGCTCATGCATCAAGGAAAAAAATTTGGTGGTTTAGTCCAATATCGTGAAATGCAAATATCATATTTTTTTCTAATAAGGCTCTTAATTATAGATGTGATTCAAAACTTCTACTTCCCTAGATCTTTGTCGAGCTTGTATGGGTCAAAAGGATATCTATTGGTCTCATGTAGTTATAATATATCATTTCAAACCTACAATATTCATACTTCCTATGTCTATGTATGTATCTTGTAAAATGATGTTCACAGTATCCTCAATGTATTATATAGCTGCATTACCTTTTCTAATTAACGAAAATCCATAATGTGAAAAATGTGTAATATTAAAATTTTTACTACAAGTGCAAGACTGTAAACTCCTTCTGAGCCGAAGACTGAACATAAACAGGCGGACAGACACAGCCGATCACACACACACCACACACACACATATATATATTACAGCTTAGTGTATTCTTATTTTATAACTATATATATATATATATATATATATATATATATATATATATATTATTATATAGTATATATATATATATATATAATATATAATATATATATAACAACAAAAATGACATCTGACATTGCAGCACTTGAAAAATGTGACTTTGGCGATGCCTGAAAGTGAACTAGGCTCCAGCGCATGATGATGTAAAATGTTTTTAGGTGAGAGTCATGTCCTTTCACTAAAACAATGTGAAGTTTACATTGCTACACTGCAGCTTTGACATGGCAGCGTGTAGCAACCAGTCAGTGAAAAATTATGACCGAGCGTTAAAATGTGTAGCTTGCATACATTCAATTTTCTCAAGAACCTAGTCTGCTAAGCTGCTTTCAAACAAACCGAGCTTCAATGATTTTAGTGTTGATTGTTTGTTACGTTGTAGCACAGGTTAGCAAACAAAGATCGATGATGATCCAATGTTAAAAGTGACATCTCATCAGTGTCAACTAGCTGCATCCATGATATTCCCTCTAGCAATTGTGGCAACTGAGTGTTCCATTATATTTTCAACCATTTTGAATTTTTTTTGTACAAAATAATATTATTTTTATAAATTCATACATAATAAAATATTATATAATTTATACCGTTGTTGCGTGGCTAGAATATACGTGGCAGTAAGTTAGGAAAATTATTCCGTCTTAAGCGTTGCACGAGTAATTCCGCACAAAACAAAAAAGAGAGAATGAACATCCAAGGTTCTTATGTTGAAAACCCAAAAGAGGGAAATAACCACAGGCCCGCCCAGTTGCAAAGTTCCCACTAGTATTTATTTGAAGTACAAAGGTTGATCCGTCCCTAACAAATCAAGATGATCAATTTAAATCACTTCTGCACAAAGTTTACAAAGTTCTGGGCGATTCCCCGGCATTTCCCCGAAAAATCTGGCAGAGTTCCGCGTCTTCAGGCGGCAGGAAGAGCTCGGCGGTGGTCGAGGAGGTGAAAAATCTCCTTTTCCCCTTCTCCTCTTCTTCTTCTCTCTTTCACTTAAGTCCCCTTGGTGTAAGAATGAGGGCTCTAATTTATAGTTTTTTTTTTGGAGTTGCATAGCCGTAAATAGGCCATGAGATCAAAGGGCGAATTGGGGAGTGGTTTGAATAGACACGGCGCGATTTTAATCGAATCCTTTGATCATGCAGATGCCGTTCGTTGTGGACGCTTTGAAGGCCTTAATGATGTCCGGAATACGATGATCTTAGGCTCGTTGGATTCGGTCTCGTTTGAGTTGTCGTGTCGAATTCGAGATAAGCTCGTCAAATCGGAGACCGTTTGGTAACTCAAAATTGTGGTTTGTAACCTTCCAACAGCACTTTGAACCCTTTGATTCGAGACTCGTTGGGCTTGGATTGGTTTTGATCTTGGTGTTCGTTGGGTTCGTATTCCGAGACGCTCAGTTTTGACTGATAAGTTCTGTGAAATCAGGTTCGGGTAATCCAAAATAATTTTTTTTGAAGTTTCCAACTAGCTTTTTGCCATCGAGATTTGTGCCCCCGATCAAGCTGATTTGTGATGACGTATCAATACTTATTAATCTCACTCACAAACTTAAACTCTTACTTGGTTCCTCAAGCAAGTAAGAATATGCACTGTTGATTAATTTTATAACCAAAGTAAAAAAAAAATAATAATTTAAAATATTAAATTGGAAATAATACATCACATTTCTATAGTAATTAAAATGAACAAAGATTATAATTCTGTTTTAGAAATCCTAAATTATGCCTTAATTACACGGTCACCCTGAGGAATTCTAACCATTGGCTTATTTTGAATTTATATGTTATGAACAGGGGCAGAACCGGCCTTAATTTTCAAAGTGGGGGTGGGTGACAAAACTAATCAAGTAAAACAACGTAGATAATTTGTTACATATATATATATATATATAATATATATATAATATATATATTATATATATATATATATATATATATATATAATATATATATTTTATATGTATAGTCATTTTGACTATGATTTTTTGTACTTGAATACATAATACATTTATAAAAATATCTCAACATCTTATATAATGAGAATTATTCTTAAACAAAATTAGGTTGAAGAATGGATGATTTGTTTGCAAAAAAAAAAAAATCAAATGGTGTAATTGATTAATCATTTAATTTCTAACAAAATGTATGTTGGAGTTCTATTAATTTGGCTCGACCTCTATTTATTCATATCCTTGATTTTTGTACGCTTCTCAGATATGTCTGGGGTCGAAAAGGGGCAGCAGCCCTCCTGACGGGTTCGACCTGCGGGGGTTCGGGCAGCCGCCCGGAAAATTTTGGTTGTAAGGATATTTTTGGATTCTATTTATTATTTCTCTTTGTATTTGACAACTTGTTTAAAGACATAGTATTTTAACACGTTTTATGGGGCAATTGCCTAAAAACCTTATAATACACCTCCACACAATGCGTATATAATTTTCTTGGGGAAATCATCTAAAGATCATAATTTTTTTTTTTTTTTTTTTTTTGGGGGGGGGGGGGGGGGGAGGGGGGAGGGGGGGGGGGAGGGGGGGGGGGGGGGGGGGGGGGGGGAGGGGGGGGGGGGGGGGAGGGGGCAATTACATTAAACACTCCTATCAACTACCAAAAATATCAATATAACTAAAAAAAAAAAATTATTTTTTTAAGGAAGGGCAATTCCCGCCCCGCCCCCCCCCCCCCCCCCCCCCTCATTGCCGCTAAATTCCATGGGGTTCCGCCTCTGGTTATGAATATAATCATTGATTATTAAAAACTTTAAAAAGAATAATGTAGCTGCTTTAAAGATTAGATGTAATTTATAATTAAGATTCAAATTCATTAGTTCACCATCATCTAATACTAATTTTCCATCTTATTCTTTGGTGTATTGGAGAAGTATAAGATTAGCAGTTTATTTTTTAAGACTTGTTGAACTTGTACCAAAATTTTGATTGTGCTATTCCCTACTTTTTTTTTTAGAACTAGCTCATCATAATTTTTTTTTTTTATTCTCACATAGGAGTACTATTTAGTTAAGTGGATGATTTTTGAATATTAGTTTTTTCGTTTTTAATGCAACTTATAATTTTTAATGATTTTTGATATGTAAGGATTAATATGATCACTTGTTCAAATTTCAAGTTACTATGATTTCCAATTTTAAGCTATTCCTATCTATTCTTTAACCTTAACTATTCATCTTACAATTCAAAGGTCGATGAGTAAATGTAAAACTTATAAATTCAAGTTAAGTCAGTAACTTAAATGATCTAAATTAGTTAATTATTATTTTTTTGTTCTATAAATTTTAATTTAATATTCGTTTAAATTATAATCTAATGTTTTATTATTATTCTAATTTTATATAAATTTTAACTATCCTTGTTTTTTTGGTTAATTAAACAATCAAAAAGTGTAAATGTTTATAAAAGACAATGTAATAGTATAAGCTTAAGTGGAATTAAATCAAATGTAAATACAAACAAAATTGAAATATAGTTAATAACACA